CTATACTACAAATTGGATGTATGCTTGCTTTCTAGACTCTTTCATCTCATGATATTATTGCTTGCTCTTAATTTAACTAGAGATTGTATACAAAGCTTGGTTTTCATGTTTACTTGGAGAAGCAACACTTGCTATTTTGGGCTACTGGCTTATGGAGGGTTTTCCCTCGATTGGTAAGAGAGTTTTATGGCAATTTGAATTTGAAAATTCTTGACCCTACCTATTTTGGGTATCACAAAGTATATGTTCGTGGACATATACTAGAATTTAGTTATGATATGATCATGTGCTGCTAGGATTGCGTGCCAATGCCGAAACCCGAATTTCGTCGAACCTAATATAGGAGACTACCCACCATGTCGTTTGGACATTGTTTGCTGGCCAATCTACAAATTTTGGAAGAACTAGTGTCATGTTTGCTTTGCTGACCTTGAAATATCAATGCCGATATTGATTAAGGGCGGAACAAATATCTACCTGACTGCAAATTCGACCAAATCAACATCTGATGAATAAAATGTTAGAGTTCACATCGGATTTGGGGAGCGAATTAACACGATTGCCTTTTTCTACCTTGATTACATTGTTTTTGCACTCTCATGGAATACACCCGGAGGACAATGAAGAGATGATTTTTCTGCCTAACTGCTTATTTTGTTGATTCCATGTCGAAGTTGTTTGTGACTTCCTTATTTTGTTAGGCCTATATTACATTTAAAAAAAAAAAAAAAAAAATTAATGGTAAAAATCTTGCAAAAAACCTCCAACCAAATAGTATTAGTTGTATATTTTCATATCATTTTCCATACCATATGTTACATGGTAACATTACTAACATGTATAAATATATTTCGAGGTAATGAAGGTATATATGTAAATAATCCCTCCGTCCTAGGTAATTTGGGTGTGTTACTGTAGACACGGGAATTTAGGTAAAATATTATTAGTAAGTAATTAAGAAGTGTATTAATAAAAATAATTATTGTATAATAAAAATAGTTATAGATTAAGATTAAGATAACCACATACTTTAATTTAAATTGAAAAAATTATAAAATATAAAGTTTAAAATGTAATTAAAGTGTATAATTATTTTTCCAAAAGAAGATTGGACAAGTTATGTGGGACGAACGAAAATAAAAAATAGAGACAAATTATGTAGAACCGAGGGAATAGTTCACACGTTATATATCACAACTACTTTTAACATCTGACATAGAACAAATATTATGAATTTACAACATATAATAATAATAATAATTCATATAATATATAATATTATTCATCTTAACAAAAAATACATATTAATATATCACAAATATATTAATATCGGAGCCCTTCGTATGGCACAATCAAACCTATATAAGTTTATGGTAGCTTGATTGGTAGGTACATACAACACGGGCATGGATTCCATGTTGATTCGATCATGTAAATATGATGCTGATATAATCGGATCAATATATATGATATATATAACTAACATATATTATACATATCGCACATATTTATAATACAATAAATTATATCTTATTATACGATATAAAAATATATATATTTATCTTTACGGTATATACTGATTCGATTAAATTAGCACCGTACAATACATTACCGCGGCCGACACACCACTGCCTCGCATATATATGTGGTAGTAGTCGTAGTCAACTTTATTTTATGCAAGGACTAATTAAAATCTTACATATATATATATTTATTTATTTTATTATATATCAATCACGTCGATTGGAATGCACGATAAGATAATTTCTCGTACCGGTAAAATTATTGGCTGTGCGCAACGGACGGACCATCTCTTTCTCTCATTTCAAAAGTTTGAGTTTGTTTAGTAGTGGAGCATTAATTGGGAATAGAGGTAACCACACATTTTTTGTTTAGATTGTCTGAACCAAATTTCAAATTTTTAATTTAAATCAAATTTTCGGATATTTTGCTCACTCTTAATTTTTAATTGGGAATATGCTTTCAAATTTCATTTACAATTTTTTTTTCTAAAAAATGAAATTTATTTGCATTTTTTATTTCTTTTTTTTTTATAAACACATATATATATTTATTTAAAGTTCTAAAAGTTAATTTATAATAATTATATACTCCCTCCGGCCTCCATTTGTCTGCCGTAAGGGTTATATTTATATTTTACATAATTGTACTTAACATTAAAAATATTTTTATATGTGTACAATGTTTTTTTTTACAAATATCCTTCTATTAGTATCATAAGACACTAATGAAATTATTTTTGCAACTTTTTTTAATTTGTACTACGTTTTGATATAATAATTAATAACTATCAACACGCAAAAAGTAAATGAGACTCTCAGAGTAGGATAGAGGTAATATATTTTTTTTAATTTTATTTAGTAAAAAATATTATACTGTATATTTTTACTATTTTTGTATATTTCGCTCAAAAGTATATAATTCTTGTTATAGTAAGAGTAATCACATATTAAAAAAAAAAAATGAAATATCGAACGAAATCTAAGGTAACAATGTATATATAATAGATCTTTCTTCTCTTTCATTTTTTTAACATTATAATAATAAAAATTAATTTTACATTCAAAACATCACATCAACACCTATTTATATCACATCATACAACTATTCAAATTTAAAATTTTTACTATTCAAATCCCAACTCAAAATCCAAACCCCCAAACAAACACACATAATATATTTTTCTGACAATACAAACAGAAAAGAATATTGAAATTGGGTTTGTCCGGTTTAAACTCCCGACGCTTCAAATCACCTGCCACACATAGCTAAACTAAGTGCGCACTTTCGGGTAGCGGCTGCGGGTTCCCACGTTATAAAAAAAATAAAATAAAATAAAATAAAACATTGAAATTGGATTTTATTTCTTATTTCGTATTCAATTGCTTTAATTGAAGTCTAAGGCATGTTTGTTTTGTTTTCTTAGTTTTAGATTGTTTATTGAGTGTTAATATCAATTCGGCTTGGTTATTAAAGTTTTCCACGTATACTATTAATCGAATTTTATTGTTTAACATATGAAAGATAATAAACTATTTTGGGAAAAAAAAAATCTAGAACTTAGTGCTCACTTTGACCGGAAAATCAAATACACCCTAGAATAATAGCAAAAACCTAAATTGTTAGTGTAAACAAAGTTATTACTCCCTCCATCCCGAAATTAAATATTTATTTGCTTTTTGCACGTAGTTTTAGAAATATTAGTATTATATTGGGATATAGTAGAAATAAAGTAGAAATGACTAAAATAACCTTATTAGTATGCGTGATATAAAGGTAATGACATTTGTGTAATATATTGTAAGTTGTAAGGGTATTTGTAATGTTAGATAGATAGTACAGTTACTAAAAAAAGAAATGGATACTTTGTTATGGGACGGACTAAAATGGAAAAATTGATACTTTGTTATGGGACGGAGGGAGTATGTTATATTATTGTTGGACATGGGTCCAAAAGCACCTGAACAAGAAGGAGGCTCAAAGACAAAGGTGGTGTCAGAGCTCATTGGCCATGGAGCCGCTCAATAGCAATGGAGCTTCAAGCCTCGGAGCCAAAGACTGCTGCTTCCACAGAACCGAAGGCAACAGTTTCCATTTGATTGTGGTGCTTCTACAGGGCCGAAAGCAGAGGAATGTTGTCTCCACAAGATAGAAAGCAACAGCTTCCGCAGATCATGGGATAACTATCTCCGTTGGCCCTGGGTTAATAATTTCGTACTTAACATTAGTGGAGGACCTATGCACTCTCATGCTTTATTCAGAAAGCTCCATGGAACAAACCAGCAAGAGGAAAACCGAAGATTCCATTTAACTCGAGGCTATTGGGGATACATCCCCGTGGACCGGCTAGGAGTACGATGGAAACAAGTCAGAGTAAACAATATATCTAGTCCAGAGGCAAGGAAGAAGTTCAGAGCAAGTGGAACCCGGTCTAGAGGCAATGGAAGCGGCTGGGAGCTGATGGAAGAAGGTTACTAGGTGGTTAGGAGCTTATGGAAGGAGGTTACCAGGGAGCTGATGGAAGGAGGTTACGAGGTGGTTAGGAGGTAGTGGAAGAAGGTGATTTGGAAGTTGGAGGTAGTAGTGGGAGGTTACCAGGAAGTTGGAGGTAGTAGTGGAAGGTTACTAGTGGTTGAGAGTGGTGGAGAAATAATTGTACCCGCCAATTTAGTGGGAGAAGTGGTTATTTTAGCGTAGGATTACAAGTAGGAAAAAGAAACACAACACACACACGCACAACAGAACAATTCGTCTATTTTCTTACTTTTCTTTCATGTTTTACTTTCGTTGAATGCATTTTAATTCGAATTGCATACTTTTATCCACTTTCCAGTAGATGTTAGTTTAAATCCATTGAAATCGGTCGTTTAGGCTCGAAGCCTTGTGGACTATCGAAGCTGTGTAGGCTCCATCGTAGAAGCCGTCTCCAATCCGACGACGGACAAGCTCTTTGGAGTACTTCCGGAATCCACACCGACTAATAGACGAACGTTCTTGGAACCTCCGAATCGCAGGATCCAACAATTGGCACGCCCAGTGGGACCAAAGTCGGATTTTTTCGAAGAGTGATGTCGAGGTTGACATGGGGTTCATATGTACCGCCTGAAAAAAGCTACGGAATTGTTTCAGAACATCCAAAGCTTCGGGCCTTAGGGCCGGGGCAGGCAAGATCAGGCTGGAATCAACAGGGTTGGAACCACCAGTCTGCAGAAGGCTAGTTCCAACAGCCTGCGAATGGTTGGAACCAACAACCTGCAGGAAGCTGGAAGCAACAGCCCGTGGAAGGCTGGCAACAGCCTGCAGAGGGCTGGAACCACCAGCCTGCGGAAGGCTGGAACCACCAGTTTGCGGAAGGCTAGCGACAGCCTACGGAGCGCTGGAGCCAACAGGCTGCGGAGGGCTGGAACCCCGTGGCCGTTGGAGTTTTGAAGAGCAATGCTGAGCCTCCACGAGGGGCAAGCAAATTGTCAATATTTGGCATGACCCCGCCAGGGCGATTAAGCGCACAACCTATGTGGAATGCACCAACACTGCCATGTGGATGTCATGGTCCAGACGTGGCTAATCTTCAATGGAAGGGGATCATCGAAACACAAGGGCAAGGAGGGCAGGCCGCAGAGATGCAACCGCCAACCTTCCATCAGCAGGCAGCCGGAGTGCAGCCGCTGACACAAAATCAACGAGAGGTCAAGCCTCTAATGGATGTTGATATCATCGCAGATTGCATAAGGAGGGCATTTTCAAAAAGAAGGTTTGAAAAGAAGCCTAGTGCCACTTTGAGTGCGGAAAATTCGCCTTCACATGAAAAGGAATCTGTGGAGGCAGAGGTTCCAAAAGCGATGGAAGCTCCAGAGTTTGCGAAGGGAGAGACTCTAGAAGCTGTGGAAGCTCAATTCGAAAAAGAGTCTGTGGAATCAGAGGTTTCGGAAGCCTTGGAAGCTCCAAAATTCGCCGAGGCAGAGACTCCAGGGACTATGGAGGCTCCTAATGAAAAGGAGTCTGCGGGCGCAGAAGTTCCAGAAGCCATGGAAGCTCCAGAGCTTATGGAGGCAGAGACTCCAGAGGTTGTGGAGGCTCCCGTTGAAAAGGAGTCTGCGGAGGCAGAGGTTCCAGAAGCCATGGAAGCTCCAAAATTTGCAGAGGTAGAGACTCCAGGGACCATGGAGGCTCCAAATGAAAAGGAGAATGTAAAGGCAGAGACTCCATACAAAAAGGACGTTGTAGGGGAAGAGACTCAAAAGGCTATGGAGGTTCCATACGAAAGGGAGTCCGCAGAGGTAAAAGCCCTAGCGACTTCAGACGAAAAGGACTTTGCGAAGGCAGAAGCTTTGGCCATGAAATTAGCAAATGAAAAGACTTATTTGTGTCCGGAATTGAAACCGACCAAAGGGTTTATTCCTTTTGCTAATACTATGTCGGCTAAAAGGCTGATGAAAGACAGGCTTAGCACTCAGCCGTCAAAACCTTCGGTTATCTAGGACCGAAGGCACCCGCTAAAAAGTCCGTCTTTACAAGAATAATATTTGGTAAAGGCTCAAGTTTGAACATAAAGGAGCATGACCAAAGACGGCCAAGAAAGAGCCTAATGCCGATATCACCATCCCAAGTCCGAAAGCCTCAAGATTGGAGAAGAGGAAAGTATACAAAGGACCCAAGCCGGAGGCCATCGTAGCAGAAGTGAGAGCCACAAATGGGAAACGGATTTGGACTGTTACCACGGCTGACTAGATCACCATCATTCCCAAGGTGACAAAAAAGCCCCCTATCATAAAAGAGAACGAAAAATGGATTGTGAATGAGCCGAAGCTTTCCACTAGGAGGGCAATAAGTGGACTCACTAGGACCCAAAAGAGGCGAGCTCAAAGAAGAAAGTTGGAGGCTCGTATGGAGGAGGGAAGGTCGCATGAGCTGCCTCAAAAAAAGAAGCAAATTGTAAGGCCACTTCCAGAAAGAAAGCAGGCCATGGAGCCGCCAAGGAAGCAAGCAATAGAACCGCCTCTAAAACAGAAGCAGACTATGGAGCCACTAAGGAAGTAGGCCATGAAGCAGCTTTCAAAAAAGAAGCAAGTTGTAGAGCCGCTCCAAGAAAGGAAGTAGGCCATGGAGGCGCCAACGAAGCAGGCTGTAAAGCCGCTTCCAGAAAGAAAGCAGGGCATGGAGACGCCAAGGAAGCAGGCCATGGAGCTGCCAAGGAAGCAGGCTGTGGAGCCGCTTCCAAAAATAAAGCAAGTCATGGAGCTACCAAGGAAGTAAGTTGTGAAGCCGCTTTTAGAGAGAAAACATGTTGTGGAGCCGCTTTAAAAAAGGAAGCACGTTGTAGAGTCACTTTCAGAGAACAAACAGGCTTTGAAGCCGCTTCAAAAAATAAAGCAGGTTGTGGAACCACTAAGGAAGCAAGTTCTGGAGCCGTTTTCAGAATGGAAGCAGGTTGTGGAGCCGCTTTCAGAAAGGAAGCAGATAGTAGAGCCACTTTCAGCAAGGAAACAGGTTGTGGAACCACTTCCAGAAAGAAAGCAGGCTGTGGAGCCGCTAAGGAACCAGGCTATAAAGTCATTTCCTAAAAAGAAACAAGTAGATGAGCCTCCGGAAGAAGTTCAAGAGTTAGAGGAAATTGTCGTTGACGAACAGCCTATCTTCGAATGGAATGATGTGGCAACGATGATAGAATATAAGAGGCTCGGGTCTGGCAAAAATCAACATGTCAAGCCTTTGCATATTTGGGTCTCGATGAATGGCTATCCTCTTGACCAAGTTCTGGTGGACAGTGGAGCTTCTGTGAATGTGTTGGCAATTGAGACCCTACGGAAGTTCGGAAAGACTAGTGATGATTTTATTTCTACATTTGTGCGGCTTACCGATTTCGTGGGAAATTCTTACAAACCGGCAGGTATGATCACTTTGAATGTGCAGGTGGGGACAAAGGAAATATCATCAAATTTCATGGTGATTGATGGTAGGCCATTTTATTCGACTTTATTGGGACGGAATTGGATTCATGCATGCGAGTGTGTGCCTTCGACACTCCATCAAATGTTGATGTTTTGGGATGGAGATGAAGTCCAAGAAGTGAAGGCTGAGGAGGATCCCTTGTCGACAGAAGTGACCACAATTGATTCAAGTGAACGGCTCAAGGCAAAAGGATATGGGCTCAATGGAAGCAATCGCCCAGCCCTTTTGAGGAGGGCATTGTTGGACATGGGTCCAAAAGCACCTGAACGAGAAGGAGGCTCAAAGACAAAGGTGGTGCCAGAGCTCATTGGCCACGGAGCTGCTCAACAGCAATGGAGCTTCAAGCCTCGGAGCCAAAGACTGCTGCTTCCACAGAACCAAAGACAACAGTTTCCATTGGATTGTGGTGCTTCCACAGGGCCGAAAGCAAAGGAAGGTTGCCTCCACAAGATAGAAAGCAACAGCTTCCACAGATCATGGGATAACTATCTCCGTTGGCCCTAGGTTAATAATTTCGTACTTAACATTAGTGGAGGACCTATGCACTCTCATGCTTTATTCAGAAAGCTCCATGGAACAAACCAGTAAGAGGAAAACCAAAGATTCCATTTAACTCGAGGCTGTTGGGGATACATCCCCGTGGACCGGCTAGGAGTACGATGGAAACAAGTCGAAGTAAACAATATATCTGGTCCAGAGGCAATGGAAGAAGTTCAGAGCAAGTGGAACCCGGTCCAGAGGCAATGGAAGCGGCTGGGAGCTGATGGAAGAAGGTTACCGGGTGGTTAGGAGCTTATGAAAGGAGGTTACCAGGGAGCTGATGGAAGTAGGTTACGAGGTGGTTAGGAGGTAGTGGAAGGAGGTGATTTGGAAGTTAGAGGTAGTAGTGGGAGGTTACCAGGAAGTTGGAGGTAGTAGTGGGAGGTTACTAAGTGGTTGAGAGTGGTGGAGAAATAATTGTACCCGCCCATTTAGTGGGAGAAGTGGTTATTCTAGCTTAGGATTACAAGTAGGAAAAAAAAACACAACACACACGCACAACAGAACAATTCGTCTATTTTCTTACTTTTCTTTCATGTTTTATTTTCGTTGAATGCATTTTAATTCGAATTACATACTTTTATCCGCTTTCCAGTAGATGTTAGTTTAAATCCATTGAAATCGATCGTTTAGGCTCGAAGCCTTGTGGACAATCGAAGCTGTGCAGGCTCCATCGTAGGAGCCGCCTCCAATTAGGTCCTTTCAATTTGCATTTCCACACATAATAATAATAATAATAATAATAATAATAATAATAATAATAATAATAATATTCATAACTAAAAAAAATTAGGTCAAAAATTATCTACCTGTGATCAATACAATCTCTGGCGTGCCACATCAGTATCACGTCAGCAATTCCGACATTGGAGGACTATTTCTATCAAAATTTTAAATTATATGGGACTACTCCAATATAGAGTCTAATTACCGTTCTAAAATAATAAAGGTTATAATATCATTTTATTACTCCTATTTTTTATATGAGTAGTGTTGTTGTTATTTTAAATATTTTTTTAGCATTGTATCTTAATAAAATATACTCTCTCCGTCCCAAAAGAGTTGTCTTGTTTTTTCATTTTCGTCAGTCTCAAAACAATTGTCTCGTTTCCTTACTGTGATTCCCACTTTATAACAAAATTATTTCTATTTTTCCAAACTATTACTAATTATTACTCTAACATACTTTTTAAAATCCTTGAAAAAGCAAGGACATTTGAATATTTTACACTCTACTTTATACCAACTTTCAATTAAATATTATTATTCCTTAATTCTTGTTCCAACATCCAATAAGACGTCTTTTTTGAGACAAGGGAGTATAAAATATGAATATTATTTTATATATAATAAAATTTTATATAATACAAATAAATATATTTATTTATAATTAACTTAAAACTAATTTGATAAAGAATTAAGAGTTTTAAATATAGATAAAGTATATGTTTATTGAAGAGAGATAAGAATAAAAAGTTATGAGTGGATTTAATTTATATATAAAAAATAATTTAATATTTTTATAATAAAAAAAATATATGAATATAATTTTAAAATGATTTTGACGATACATTTTCTATTTATAATAGTAATAATAATAAGTTTTAAATATATGAAAATATCAAAATGATAAAGAATTATTTTTATTTTTATTTTTTTTTTAGTAAGATTTAGTGAAAAGCAACGTATTACTTTTAAACAAATCAGAAAAGCAATTATAAAAATTAGATTAAAACTATTGCTTTTATATATATATATATATATATAAAATAAACTATTGTTTATTATTTTAATAGAAAATCAATTAGTCTAACTTTTTAAAAGATTTCCGGTTGGAAGGGAGCTTGTAGGGCTAGTTAACTTGTTTCTATTATTATTATTATTATTATTATTATTATTATTAGTATTAGTATTAGGGTAAACTGTTTTTGCTTTTTTTAGTCATGTAACTGGACACCCTTATCACTTTAGTCCTGTACGTGGAGCATGTCGCAAACTAGTCCCATAAATAAAAGATTTTCGCTGTTTTAGTCCTCCGGCGCCGAAGATGCCTGCGTGGCTCGCCGAAGGTGACGTGTCCGACAGGTGTCGCTGACCTGACGGACACGTTTATTTTTTAATTTTTTTTCATTTTTTTAAAACTTATTTTTAATTTTTTTAAAATTTTTTTTTGTATTTTTTTTATTTTGTCTAATTAAAAAAATTTAAAAATATAAAAAATGAAAAAAAAAAATCCACGTGTCCGTCAGGTGTCGCTGACTTGGCGGGACACTTGGCGGACATGTCACATTCGGCGAGCCACGCGGGCGTCTCCGACGCCGGAGGACTAAAACAACGAAAATTTTTCACTTATGAGACTAGTTTCCGACAGACTCCACTTACGGGACTAAAATGATAAAGCGGTCCAGTTACGAGACTAAAAAAAAGTTTACCCTTATTATTATTATTATTATGACTTTCGTATCTTTGTTTGTTCGGAGGATTGGATTTTAAATTCACTACTCATCCTATTTTTTTCCCAAAATATCAAATCAAACACCTATTTTTTATATTATACTAAAAATTCATTTTATATTCAAAACATCACATCATACAACTATTTAAATTCAAAATTTTTACTGTTCAAATCACAACTTAAAATCGAAACCCCCAAACAAACACACCCAAAATTATATATTAATAATTAATATAGGTAAATTGCCTTAGTATTATTGTTTAGTTTATGTTTTGGTTTGAGTTTGAGACTCTTTAAGCAAGAGTTTTGGAATATTATTTTGTTAGAAAATATTTTAATTTGATTTTTTTTAAAAAAAAAAATTGAAAATAGTATTGGAGTTTGAAATGTATTTAAATAGTAGAATATTTTGGATGATTTTTGGAATTGTAATGATTTAATCATTATTGTTGATTGATAATGTGATATAAAATTTCTTATAATATATTTGATAAAAATAAATTAAATTTGTGTATGATATTATTTTAAGAAGGATATACTAAAACAAATATATCAATATCTATTATATTTTATAGAAACTAAAATTTTATATAAACAAAGATTTAAAGTAAAATAAACAGTTTCAATTTATTATAAGTAGAAATTAATTTAAAACAACCTAGTGTGTTTTTGTTTGAGAAATTTTGTAAGATTTTTACTATTTTTCAATTTTTTTTTTCATAAATATAAAATCAAATGCATATCTTTATTTTATAGATTTTATTAAAAAAATAAATTTTAAAAATATTACATTAAATAAATATTTAAATTCAAAATTTTATTATTTAAAATATAAACACTCAATCAAACATATACTCAAAACTCCCTCCGACTCGGGTAAGATGCCCATTTTGTTTGGATACACTGTATTTTAAGCAGTGTAATTTAATAGTTAATAATAGTAGTTATAATATTATTTTATTATTTTTTTTTTATATAAGTAGTGTTGTTATTATTTTTAAAATAAAAATTAATATATATGATTAAATAAAATTTAAAATAGGTATTTAAATATTTTAAATACTATATTTCAATAATACTCTCTCCTTCTCAT